TTAAAGACCTGAAATATTTCAGTTGGTGTGCAATGAATCTGAAATATATGAAAGTTTCCTTTTTATCATTACATTATGGAAAATAATGACCTTTATCACAATATGCTAATTGTTTTAGAAGGACCTATATATATATATATATATATATATATATGCACATATCTATCACACAGCGGACATGGATCGATGAAAAGTTGGTTAGCTGTTAGCCACAGTACTACTGCACGTTGTAGCTGGCTTTAAACTATGAAATGGATTTCCTGAATGTGAGGCGGGTCTTATTACTCTGGGTTCATGAGACATGCCTCCGTTCAGGAAATCCATTCCATAGTTTCAAGCCATCTTGCAGAGCAGCTGGCAGGGAATCACGTGAAGAAGTTTCATCAGACACAGACATACATCATGGATCGGAAATCTGCAGGTTGGATTGGAAAAATCCGATATGTAAATTATGCTGGTATTGGAGGCTGATCCAATACCAGCATAATTTACGATGTAAAATATTAAAAACAGGAACATGTCTGTGTTGGTTAATGCCATGAACTTATGTTTAAAGCCATTTAATATTTTTATTTAATTAATTTATTCATTCATTTAAGAGACAAAATAAACAAAACAAATTCATCAAAAAAATTGAATGAAGAGTGCAGAAAGAATAAAAAAAATATCTCTCCCTTTTATTTAAAAAAATATATAAAATAATTTTAAAACGGTCACTTAAATTAATCACTTTAATATCCACTTTAAAGCTAGGAATAAAAAAAAAAGTTTTGTGTTAGCAGAATTTAATTCTAACTTTAAAACTTATCCAACATTAATAAAACTTACCTCAAGTTGCCTTTTTGGACATGCAAGCAAATATTTGTACTAATTATACTCGAGAGGAGATTATTACAGCCTCAAATAAAATCAATAATGATGATGATATCGGATCAGTATCGGCCGATATCCAGATTTAAGGATCGGAAGTAAAAAAATGTGGATCGGTGCATCCCTACTACTATTCCTACTTTGCAGTTTTTCACTTATCGCGGGGCTTCATGGTACAGATCCCCCTCGATAAACGAGGGACTACTGTAGTCTGTCATTATCTTCTAAAGTAAATCAGCTTTTGTGCATTCCAGCTGTGGTTCTGCGTATAAAGTGCCTCCAGATGGAATTTATAAAAAAAAAACCATTAAACTCCATCCAGTACTTATTGATGATAAAACCTGGAGCTAAGTTGATCCTTTGTATTTTCCTGGCCAACAGAACTCCATGGATCTGTGTCGAATAGCAGTGATGGGGCATTCCTTCGGCGGAGCGACAGCTATTGAAGCTCTTTGCAAAGAGGTTAAATTCAAGTATGTTTCTTTGTAACAGAAACATCTAATTATCAATTAAGACAGCAGTCCATTGTGGATTACTGAAGAGCAGGCCTTAATATGATCAGCTCAGCAGTCATGTTCTCTGATCAGGTGTGGAATAGCCCTCGATGCCTGGATGGTCCCTCTAGATGAAAACATCTTTCCTCGAGTCAAGCAGCCGATTTTCTTCATCAACTCAGAGAAGTTCCAGTGGGCCGGGAACATCAGTCGCATTAGGAAGCTGGACTCTGCGGTTGTGCAGAGGAAGATGATCACCATCAGGTACGATGAACACAACTGTTGTTGTACAGTGTTTACTAGTCTTGTTGATGTAAAAGAATAATTCAGACGTTTCGTCTTTTTTTCTTCCAGAGGTACAGTCCACCAGAGCTTTCCAGACTTCACCTTCCTGACAAGCAACTGGATCGGGAAGATGATGAAGCTGAAAGGAGAGATCGACCCAGAACTCGCCATTGACCTCTCCAACAAAGCAACCTTAGCCTTTCTGCAACGCCACCTTGGTAAGAAAATTCACTCAGTCAATCTTAGCCTTGGGTTAAAGTTGCACATTTCTAAGGTTCTCCTGGGATTTGCAGGTCTGGAGAAGAACTTTAATCAGTGGGACCCTCTGATTGACGGGCAGGACGAAAACCTCATTCAAGGAACTAATATAACTGTACTTCAGTCTGCCATCTGACCTGCCACTGTGCCTCAAATACTCAGGAACCTTTGCAGTGTTCCAAAACTGCAGACAAGTCAGCGTGGCATTTGGTTTGAAATGTACTGAGGGTAGTAACATGTTGGGAGTAACAATGGAGAGAGAAGCCACTACCTCACTGGCAGGAAGAATAAAACACCAAGTGTGGGGCTGCTTGTATTACAAGGCCTAAATTTTGCACGCAGCTAAACGTTTCCTTTCCCTGTTTGGTACAATCTGTTTAAACAGAATTACAGAAAAAAAATCTTGTTTTCAGTTTCATCTTTGTATATAAAAGCTAATAGATATTTTAGACAAGATTCCCCACCAGAAACAAGCTACTCTCCGATTGCTGTGTGATATTTGAATAATCTTATCAATAAGCAATGAAAGGATCAAATTACAGACCATTTTTAATGAAGAGTCTGACCAAGGTAAATATGAAGATGATTCTATTCTGAATTAATAAATGACTGTCGGACAATATAAAACACGAAACAGGTCTCTCTTGTAATCAATCAACCTTTATTTCTACAGGTAAATCCCATTGAGCCTCGAGGACTCATTTACAAGAGAGACCTGATTTCAACAAAGAAAGATGACAACAATGGACAACAGCAACAACAATAAGCAGTTATAAAAACTCATACTCGTTTTTTTTTTTGTGTTTTTTTTTTTTTAACAAATAGGATGGCTAAAAGGAAAAAGGTAACAAAACAAACAAAAAAAAAAAAACTGCTAGATTCCAAGACTGGTAATGAGTCCTCAAGGCTCCATGAGACTGACCTGTATAAAGGTTGAATAAATTAATGAAATATAAAGCTGCTGTAAGACGTGCCATAATTCTGTACGGTTCATTCTCGCTAAATATCTTGCCCAATTTTTTTTAAAATAAATTTATCATTTGAAACATCTAAATGTTTTCATAATAAAAACAATAATAAATCTGTTGCAAGTTGCTTCTGGCATTTTGCCTTGTACAAGAAAGCTGACAGATCCTGAAGCTACTTTTCAGTGTTTGTTCATGTGTATGAAATGAACCGGATACAAAGAAGACATACGGTAGATTGCAAAAGTATTTTATTTACTGGTAGTTGCTTTAAAGGGGTTAGATGAGCTACATCGTGAGTTACTCAAAGCTTAAAACTTTGCTGGGCTGTCTTGCTCCTCGTCACGTCTTTGTAATATTTTGTGGACATGGGGGGCAGTGCCACTGAATTGGCAGAATGGGGTGGTAGTTCCCTTTTTGCGATGAGGGACCCAAGGGTGTTTCATTACAAAAACTCTCCTCAGCCTCCCTGGTAAGTATTCAGTGGGGCTGAAGAAGTCTAGTCAATGGTCGAACCTTGATTCAAGAGGTCAAATCTGGGTTTGTCATGGCTGTACACCGAACCTACCCGTCATTGGAGTTTGTCCAACCACTCTACATGTTTTGTGGAATTTAAGGCATTTGACCATGTTCCTCAAGAAACCCTGTGTGTGTGTGTGTGTGGGGGGGGGGGGTCTCACTGAGCGTGGAGTTGGGGGTCTGTTACTACAGGTCATTTACACAGTGCTAGTCTGGATGAGTCAGATTCTGTCAGGGTTGCCTGCTGTTGCTTTTGTTCATAACTTATGGACAGAATCGGTGCAGTCTTGAGGCAAGTGGGGTATACAGTTCAGTGGCCTCAGAATTCCTTCTCCATTTCAACACCACCAGCCTGATCAAACAGCTCATCAGAGACTACTTCCTCAGGCGGCTGAGGCGAGCTGGTCTGGGAAGCTCAGTCCTCACCTCCTTCTACAGGTGTGCAGTGGAGAGCATCCTGTGCTCCAGCATCAACGTGTGGCATGGAGGCTGCACAGCTGCAGAAAGAAAAGCTTTGCAGAGAGTGGTGAAGGCTGCACAGAAGATGTTGGAGTCAGTCTCCCCACCATCACAGACATCTACACCTCCAGATGCAGGAAG